CTCTTCGTCATGCCATCGATATATTCCACATAGCACAGTTTTTTAATCTTCCTTATTTAATGCATGGTTAGTACATTACTTGAGTATATTTTTACCTCATGTAATAGACGCTGTTATTTTAATTTCATTAACTGTTCTCCTTAAAAAGCATGCAAACAAAAAGTACCACAGATCACTTTATTTCTAATGCTTTTTCATATTCAGGTAGTAATTATTAACTTGAACCCTTATCAGCAGATCATACAACAAGCAATTGTTCATTGTCTTTTTTTAGCTTGCGAGGACGCTATTGTAGCACAAATGTCTATAGAAACAGTGGGAAGCCTTTGGAATTGGACATGCGAACCCGGTGGTTCTGCTTATGTTCGACGTCACTGCATCGCATTCCTTTGTTCTGATTTCTCTCGAATTTGTTCTTCACATTTACTTTTTGAGCTAGAAGAAGATTTACTGAAGAATTGCCTGCTTTCCGACTATGTTCAGGTTTTACAGCTAATTTTTATTTCTTTGTTTCTTTTATGAAACATTTTTCTTCATCATTCCGAATTAGACACTGAGATAGCGTATTTTGCTAAGACAGATTGTTAACAATTTGTTTTAGTTTTGGCCTTCAGTTTGTCTTTTTATTCATGACCTGCTTACATATTCCAATAGCCAAAAATAATCTTCATACAATGAAGCTTACTCTGTGACCGCATATTGATGTGATTGCGGTACATTTTCTTGCATCAACGATTTCAGTGACTAATTAAATAAAGGAAGTTAAGTAAAGTTCATTTGGTGTTTGATGTATATTTTATATTTATAGTGTGCTGAAGTGAAAATCCTGGAAGCAGTAATACGATGGGGTGAGCATGAATTGATGCGACGAATGGAGGAACGAGAACCAAATTTGATCGCAAATACCAGCCATAGTATCAGCAGAAAAGGTATTCGCCGTTCTGAGTTGAATGACGAAGAGCTGAAGAGTATTTTAGCAAATTTACTGCCTCTTGTTCGGATCGATTACATTCTTCCTCCATTTCACCAGGTAATACTCTTCACTGATGGAATAAACAGTTTATTTCACTTTTGATCTTCAATTTATCTTTTTATTCGTGGATTCATTTAGCTTTCCATAACTCTTACAGAGTTTGAATGCTGCTTATAAACGGGGTCTGTTGGATAGATCACCACACGTGGATTTATTAGGCCAACGTTATCCAGATAGCAGATCGCCAGATGTGAATCCTGATGCACACTGGTTTGATCATAGTGTACCACGCCGGCATTCTGCTGGACCACGGCTTCTATTACCATATATTATAGTTTGTTATTATAATTTTTATTTTTTGCGGCATACATTTTATTCTCTAATCTTCATGAGTGTTTTTCTGATTTAGTAAAACATTTTACTTTTATGCACTTATATACCTTTTTTTCCAGGAAGTTCGGAAGCAATTGAAACGTTTGTGTAGAAATGGAGAAAACGTATCATGCACATTGCAGCAAGAAACTCTTGCTGATGAGCTGCAACTTTTTGTCAATAATTTATCGCCGGAAATCATTTCCGAAAATTTAAAACTAAAGGTTTCTCCGGACTTCATTGATCTTTTTTTGAAAATTTTTTATACTTCTCTTATTTTGATAGTGGAAGTAAGAAGTTTTTTTAAAACCTTTTCTATTTATAACTATAAATTATCATTGCGAACATCCAGTCATTTGCTATCTACATAAGATTTTCGACAGTTTTTCTCAGCTTGTATGCATTATATAAAATTAAACTATAATCGGATTGCGTTGTTTGAAAATGTGATAAGTTTTCAAATTCGGAATATAGCATGTTATGAGTTCATGAAGATTATTTGGTCAAAGTCATTTGAAGACAGAAAAGATAGAATATGTCGGTGATTGCGTGATCTTCATGATGATCTTTCTCAAGATTTCAGATTGAAAGGCGTGTGAAGGAATTAGCTGGAGGTGATTTATTGAAGAAAATATCCTGCTGTGGTTGTTCGCACCATCTTGAGTTAGCCATTGAGCAGGTTAGTTATACATTTGACTGCAAAATTTTCTTGGAATCTCGATCTTTTTATGTTCATTTAAATTATTGTTCTCTTATTTTCTTTACTTCGATTCCAGATTCGTCTTCGCGTACTTCGAGAATTAAATATGGATGACGATTGTGTGGAAGTTTCATGTATTTGTTCAGCATCGGAACGAAATTTGCTGCCACATTATTATTCCAGTCAACCAACAGTAGCTGTTGCCTGCGATGTCGTCAATACTGATATCTCGCTTTCATCCATAGCTCTTTCTGACTACGGTATTTTGTTCATTTATTTTGTTTATAAAAAGACAAGAATAAAGTGAATTATAATAAAAAGATGATCTGGATTCAGGAAAAATGAAATTTTCTAAGAAACCAAAAAAGGGTCATTGTATGATTGATTCATGTAAGAATTTTCAACAATAGTAGAGGCGCAGATACTATGAAACGGCTTATTGTACATATGGAATGAAGTTTTGTTTAAATTAAATTGAAGATTACTTTATGTTCAGATTAATTTTAGAAGAAACCGGAACTTGTTTTTGTTATGAACTGCAATAGCAATTTATTTCGCTTGATCAGCTCTCCTTTTATCCATTATTTCCCTTTCATCAGTGTAGTCAGCACCATTTCATTCTTCATTTGTTGCATCTTTTTAATTTCTTATGCAAGTTAAGAATTCTAGCTTTTAGCAATGTTCCTGTTTTTTCAGATAAACGTGGGAAAAGCTGTTTACCAGATGTACTGCACAATGAAGCCACCACTTTATAATGCTCACATGTTATATACATATAAGCGGTGCTTGTCACCACATTTTAATGACATTATATTTTTTTTCATTTTCAATCAGTTCAAACTACCCAAAAAATGCAAATATTCTTATCAATCAGCAGTAATTGACACAGTCAGCAGTAATTGACAAATAAAACAACAATGAGTGACATTGTTTCTTTGTAGGTGTCATATTTCGTGTTATTTTTTAGTCATTTATATGCTTAAAACAAATAAACAGTTCATTATCTTTGTTATTTGCTTAGATAAATTATTATATTCAGTTATGAAATGCTTGTATGAATGCAATAAAAATTTGCAGAATTAAATGTGAATTTCCGCTTTGGATTCGAAATTTAAGTCTTTTTGATTTTAAAAGCGAGTGGTGAAACCATCTTTCGAAACTTTTCACTGTACGATTTTTCCATTTTATTTTGCGTGTGAATTTACACTTACGGTTCATGGATTCGTTGATTTAGCTTATCCCGCAATAGGTTATAAATTTTTGATTAATGTTCCTTTTTGGATCAATTTCCATTAAGATAACTGAAGATAGCAATTTCATTTTTCTCATATGAAGCAATCAAAAAAGGATTTTGTGATAACTGCTACAAAATACGACAGGAAAACAGCTATTGTTAATTTAGATTATACTTCAGTACAGCTCCTAACTTCTATTTCAGTAGTCTTCAAATGCTGAAAATTTGTTTTTGAGATATGGTTGATTCTTATTTCCTTGAAAACTAATCATTTCTCTCTTACTTTACTAAAAATCTGAAGGTTAAAGACTCACTTTTAAACTGAAAAAAACTCAAAATTTGTTCTAAAATGAGTTGAAGTGCTGTATTATGTAAAAGCACTCCAAACTCTTGAATTTGTTTTTCAAATTTTTAACTTTCAAATTTCTGTAAATAAAGTAAATTTCATAAAAAGCATAATTCTAAGGAATGACAGACTATTTGCTATCATCTCAATTATTTTCATAAATTTCAGTTCTAATTTTAAATGAGAAGAGAATATATCAACTAATATTGTGTGTTTTTTTCTTAATGATATAAGAGGAATTTGAAATTTTTGGCTGGAAAAGTTTCGCATGCGAAATTTTCACCGAGTAGCTTCAAAATGCAGATATGACAGCCAATTCTATTTGATTGTTGCTTAATTCATTTCAACATTTTCAATAAGTTAAAAAATAATCCATGTTTTTGAGTATAAGATAAAGTTAATACTGATAATATGCCACAAATTTCTTTTGAAATATTTTTTAATTTTGAAAATTTTAGACTTTAAAAAGTAAAATTATCAATTACCACTTTTACTTCCAAAATAAATCACAGGGAAAGCTGCTATTGCATTTTCATTTCATGCATGAATCAAAATGGAATAAATCTTTAGACAAAAGGTTTCGTTTAATTCCCTTAGGAAATTTCAAATTCCTAAAATGAGAGCTGATATTGACTGTCGTGGTGAATCATCATTTGAGGTAATATCAGATATGATAAGCAATCATTAAAACGGAAAAGTTTTCATCTATTTCATGAATGCTAAAATATTGCTTTTTAATTTTATAAAAAATGGGCTAAAATAATTTAAGAAATAAATTTAATTTCAGTGTTTATATGTATTATCTTTTTCTATTAAAAGTGTAAACTATCCAGCATTTCCATTTGAAATTCATCAAATTGAATAAAATCTTTTTAAAACTGAGAAAGATAAATCATTCTTAAATTAGTTTTCATTTCAAATTTTAATATTTTGATTGACTTCTGTCATTTAAAAACAATAGGTTTAATAAATTCATATAAATTTGTCAACATTCCTATTTCAATATTTATTTGTTTAGTAATAAATATTACTAATTCAAAAAGTTCAAGCATTTAAATTTATCACACATTCTTCTTATCAACTTTTGTATTCTATCATTACATTAAATTTTTTTATCAATGATATTTTATTCATAGCCTTTTAGTGTCAAATGTTTCATTTGTAGTTCCATCTTATAATAACGTTATGAAAAATTCTCATTAAAATTTTCAAAAAAATTTCAAACATACATATTTAAATAGTGTATTAATTGATGCCAAGAACGGTAAGATTATACATCTTGCATTTAGCCAATTGTAATGTTAGTATGAATGCAGCCTTAGGCTTATTTAAACTCTGAGAATATAAATCTAATTTAAAGCAAAAAAAAACAAGCCTGAAATATTTTTTGTTGATTGCAAAATTATTTCAGGCTTGTATGAAAAAAGAATAACAAAAAGGAAAGATTGAGTGTGTAAGGAAAAAGAATTCGAAGAAGCTAAAAGTTATATTCCGTCCATATAAGCATAATTTATTAAGGATGGAACAGAGAACGAAAATATGCCTCATCCCAATCTTCTCCAGTTCAACTCTATGCTTAGTTGTGGCTGCTCTAGCTCAATTTTATGCCCAGCTCTGGCTAGTTTAATTCAATCCCATGCCTAGTTCCAACTAGTTTAGTTCAAACTCTACCCTAATTTTGGTTAGTTTAGCTCAATTCCCCTGTATCATTTTAGCTAATTCTAAACTATTATTCACGCTAGAGTCTCATTTATTATTTGTAAAAAGCTCGTCCGACTAAGGCAATCAACAGAGAAAGATAGAAGGACGGCGGCGAGAGAGAGAAAGAAGGAGAGGGAAATAGGAAGTGAACAATTGCGCCATAAATGTTCAGGAATTTTACCATAATTGGCTACTCTTTTTATGATAGAGAAATAAACAATGGAATTTTGAATGAGTATGAATGTGAAAGAATGAAAGTAATAAAAATAGCAATAAAATAATAAGCCTTAACTATAGCTTATCGCTATGAACACAAAATACACTCATATATTTTAGCTTATTTTATATCTTTAAATATAGTCATGCGCAAAATGACTACGGTTACTGCTAAATATTTGTGTTTGATTTAATCTTTTTGGGATCATTTATTCTCAAATTTCAATGTTTACCAATCTTTTGTATGCCTTTATAGAAGGAGCAAATTTTAGCTTTCAAATAATTTCGCTTAAAATTGGAAAGATTTATTGGCTCCAGAAATGTCTAGAAATGGGTCCAAAAGTGGGTTGCCTTGGTTACGCGTCTTATAATTTCACATATATTTGCTTTTTTGATGTTGCAACCATTGAAATGAAATAAATTAGAATAAATTTTGATAATCTTTAATATTTATAATGACAACTAGTGTTTTCGCATCTTTGACATTTTTAAAAAATATTAAATTAAATAAGTTTATTTCGGCTCAAAATTTTTTTCTTTTCTGCACTACAATTAAATAAGAGAATTTTTAACAAATATTTTCGTTTTTCCAAAAATTTTGCTTAATGTATGTATACATTTTATTGCAAAAATTTAATTATTCTGTAATAGAAATTGAAAAAATTTGTTGTTACTTCGAAAAAAATTATGCGATCAAATTTGCACATCTTTACAAATTTTATAATTATGCAACATTTTTCTGTATAGAAAAACTATAAATTGAAATATTTGATATATGCAAAATATAAGAACCGTTTTTAAATTTTTAACATATTTCTACATTCCTTGAAATAATCAGTTATATATAATTTTTTAATCTTAATTTATTTAGGCAAAATGAAGCAAATGTTTCGAAAAGATAAATTTTAGTTTTTAAATAATTTCGCCCAAAATTTGAAAGACTTATTGGCTAGATTAATATTTTTTATGCTTATTAAATTCATACAAAACATTTACACTCAATGAACCATTAGGAAATCTAAATCGGAACCAAATTCAAATTCCGAGTTGAAACATAAAAATCTTAGAGTACAGCTTAAAAACAATCATTTCGCTTTTTTGTAAACAGAAAATAGGCATTATTTTAAAGTATAATTCAAAGTTAAATGTAAATAATTGTTTAAGTAAGAAGGGATTGTAGCATTTTTTGGTCTTCTTCGATTAAGAAAAGCGATATGATTTTTCTATTATTTTATATTTCACTGATAAACTATTTTGCATAACAAAATAATTTATTATGCACCTTTTTTTATAGTTCATCCCTTCAAGATTCAGTTTCTTTTTTTTCACCGCTGCTATTTTGAAATTTAACCCACAAACTTCATTCTGTTACTTTTTTCTCTTATTTGTGAATAGCTTTTCAGTGCTTTAGATTATCCATAAAATCTAAAACATTGAATTTTTCAAAAATTTTTTTCCTTTAAAATTGAGAAATTTTATAGTTTCCCAAGGTGGTGATAAATCTAAAAGACAAATGGAAAGAATTTAGCACGTGAGATGAATATTTGAGGATGTATTCGATTATAAAAGTCCTTTAAGCTATAAACGAATTCATTTGCTAGAACGAAATTCTTCTATCGTAAAAAATATTTATTTGTCAATCAATTCTTATCATTAAATTTCCTATTTCTAATTAGGTTTTGATTTTAAAAAAGTTTTTTTGTTTGTGATTTATGATTTTAAAAAAATTTTTTTTTGCTTATGATAAATATGTGCAAATTTCAGAAATTACGTCAACTAATCAATATTTTCATATTCATTTTCTTTCTGTTTGCATTTTAAGCATTCGTTGAAAGGCTATTTTTCAAAAAATTCATTCAACTTTAATGATAAAAATTCTTTGGTTGATTGTCATTTTTGGATTGTTTATTGGTAAGTTTTTTCCAGAAATTTTATTCTTAGCCTGCTTTAAATACATTCAAATTTAATTCAGTTTTTCAAAATATTTAACTCAGTTTTCTTTTTTCATTTATTTCATTCATTGATAAAAAGAAAGTACATAAATAAAATGAACATTTTTTTTCAGCGTTTAGTATTGATACAAATTAGCACTGGTTTTTTGGGTCATTAACATTTTTAAATTTCACAAGAAATTAAAGAAAGAAGCCGCTAAGCACATGAAATAAATCCATCATATTTGTTAAGCATTGGCAAATGCGTTCACTTCAATCTTCTCTTTTACATCACACTCAATCCATATACATATATAGCTGTTTAAATTTAAATTTCACACATTCAAATTAATTCAAATATTGTGTGTTTGAATTTCAAAGCATAGACTGCAAATAAAAATAAACTTTTCAATTATTTCTGCAAAAAAATGAGAGTGAAAAAAATTTATTCCATAGAAAAATTAATTAGGTTTAATTTGTTTTTTTGTAGTTCTTTTCTTCTATATCTTAATCTTCAATGGTTGGAAAATTTCAGTCGAGAAGAATTTCTTTTTCTCAGTCTATCATTTCATTTATTTTCATTTTTTCAAATTTGAAGAAATACTGTGTAAAAAATTCTTTACAGCAAAATTAATACAATGTAAGGCAATCGCACGAGTAGAAAATGGACGTCAGTTAATTCATGTGGAAGGCAGTAAGCATTATTTTTTAACGTATACTTACATACGCTTAAAATTTTCATGCTTTTCATTTGAAATATCATTTCTGAATGAAATGATTTCGGACACAAAATTGGCCGATAAGATAAATTGGCTTTGCATAAATAATTGTTAATTATAGCTGTTAATTATTTGCTCACAATAGGCAAGGATCAATTTTAGGCATGTTATGGAAGGAATTATGAAGACCATAATAGTATTCAATTGCAAAAATATTGACATCAATTTTTAGATTATCTAATTTCAGGCTACGTCCTTCTATCCTAAAATGAATCTGCTTAAATCGAAATTTAATTTTATAACTGCCTTTCTAATTAAATTGAAAAAAATTACTGTCAATAATTTCATTCAATTTTTCAGGGGAACCTTTCATGGGCAACTACATTCAGTTAATTTTTGCAAGATTGCATTGCATTACCGCGTTAACTGTTGACAGTGTAACACCATTAACTGGCGCTGAGGAAATGTTAGTTTTTTGTTGAGAATTTAAAATTTTAGGAAATTTTTCTTTCATGAATTTGTAAGAGAATTTAAAATTTTAAGAAATTTTCGTTTTATGAATTTGTAAGAGAATTCAAAATTTTAGAAAATTTTTGATCTTTATGAATCTGCAACTATTAAATTGTTGATAATATAATTATATTATTTACAATTAATCATTTTCCTCCTTATTAACTCTTCAGTTTAATCATTTCCATCTAATTAATTTCAGTGAATTCATGTACAAAATTTGCGAAAACGACTCAGTCTGGTATTTAGCACATTACAGTAATAGTGGAAGCAATTTTACGCTTCATTCACCTATTTATGCAACAGTTTTTACAGTTGTAACCCATCAGCCTATAAGTATTGTTAACATTAATACCCGACCATGTGTGCATACCAACTTGGAAAAAATTAATATGATGTGAATTTTTGCTAATTAATATTCATCGTTTGTTAATTGATTAATATGATCAAAATCAATCATATTTGATTTATTTTTAATTATTTTGAATCAATTAAAAAAGGATGACGAAAATTTTACATAAAAGAATCAAAATTTCAAAATGAAATTTAAATTTAAAAGAAAACTGTAAATTCAAGACTACAGTTTTAAAATTATAAATTACAAATTTTTAGGAAAATTTACAAAAAATGTATGGCTGTCAATGGAAGAATATCGCACAAACATCGAAAACATCACAATCAACAATTTTTGGTTATGGAAAAACGTACGAGAATGAAGCGGAATGTTATTTTCGAGGAGATTATTGAATTTAATGCAACAGATTCACCTTATCACATTTTGAAAAATATTACCATTAATAGTGAACAAATTCTTAAAATACATGCTGGAACGGATATAATTTTTACTCAAAATACAGGCATTATTGTATACGGTATGACATATCTGATTCATTTTTTCAAAATTTAAATTCTTTTTTATCTTTCATCTTTGCGTTTTTTTTCAAAAACTAAAATTGACACTTGTAAGTAATGTATATTGAATTTTAATGCTTTGCATTTTAATATTCTACATTTTTTATATTTAAATATATTTTACATTTAAATCTTAATATTTAACATTTTTAGGAACTCTACATTTACTGGGTCAACAAGATAATCCAATTACATTGAAAAGTTCTAGCCATGCACCATGGCTTGGAATTATTCTCAACCAGGGTATGTTATTCTCAATTACTTAAATATGGAATTTTTATTTTTGAAATGTATTAAATTTGTAAAAAATATTCTGTTATAATTAATATGTATTATAAATTAAACCATATTTTATTCTTCGTAGTTTATATTTTACATTAAAATTCAAAATAGGTAAAAATTACTGAACCCAGTGGAAATATCATCTTATTATTATTATTGCTATATTACTAATTTATTATTATAATTGTAAAATTCATAACATCAAGTTTTGCTGATTTCACTTCCTTTCAAACCTGTAGATTGAGTCCAGTATACAAAAAAAATCAACAATAACATTATAAAATTTATTCCTATACTTATCCTCAATTATTTAAATAATCATAAAAAATCACAGGTATGAAGTTTCTGCATTGATTTCTAGGCGGTATTATTCATGCAAACTATTGCATTCTAAAAAATGCAGCGATTGGATTAAATGTTAGTTCATCAAATATAGCAATTAGAAATATGCAAATCATACGACCAATCTCTACTGGTATTTTAATTACAACGGTATACAATGGTACTTTTGATATGGGTGAGTCAATTATATTGCAATCACGTGGGAATGGTATTCGAATTCTAAAACGTCAACACATACAGGATGTTCTGCTTCTCAGGTATATTTTACATATTGATAATTAATAATTTCCAGCCTGAATGGATACAGTTTTGATTTTTTGCAGTTAATCAATTATATATGCATCAAAGAAATTTCATTTTGTTTTCTATATTGTTGAATTAATTAAACTAACTTTTGTTTTGCAAATAGAAATTTCAATAGTGTATGTCGCCTGATCTTTTCTGACCGTGACAATATTTAGGGTTTGACTGCAATCTTTCAGTTACTGTGGACCTCAAACTTGGATAATTAAACCAGAGCAATAATAGTAAAAACACAATATTAAAACGAGAAACAAGCGGTACAAAAAATAAGCCAAACACATAACCCAAAAGGAAGAAGAACGAATGAATGAATAGATGAAGATTTGATGTTTTATATAGGCAAAGTATACGTGCATATCATAACGCGGGAAAATAAGGAGAGAGAGATATTGGAGGATATAAGGGCAAGGGAGATCACGTAGTATAATTGGAGGCAGGGATGGGAACGAATGTGCAGTACAAGATGAATCATTTGACTGTGTTATTTGGTTGACAGGAACATTAATATTGACACGTATTAACGTACATTAAGACACAGTAATATTCCTTATTACAATCGTATCTATAAATAAAATATAAAATATATATCCTTTCACGACAAAAGGAATCTGAAATTTTAATCCAAAACAAAGAAATTAATTCTTCTTTGGTA